ATATATTGGATTTACGAAACAAAAACGTTTCGTGATTGCTAGTAGTCTGGTGTATTTTGTTTCGTGTTTGTTTCGTAAATCGTGTATACTTCGAAGTAGTACCATCCATCGATGGTACTGCAAACTGAAGAAATTCGTCCAAAAATACGCTCGAAGGAAGCAGAAATTTCAGTCAATATTTTGGTGAAAATTGGGGCAATATTGGATGAAAAATAATAATTTTCGAAACCATTTGGATTTAAATGTCATATCCGGACGCTCTATCCAATCAAATCGGCAATTGAAGTGTGGATTTCACAAGCGATGTTGCGGCGGGGTACGTTGAGCCGCGCGACCGCAGCCTCGTGGAGTTCATTGCGTAGCTTTGCTTCCAAGCCAAAGAAGCCCATCGTGCTCAATGACTTCATGCGCGTACGCGAGTTGTCCAAGAAGCTCAAAGTCACCGCGGACGAAGTCGTGAAACACGCTTGCAGGAAGCACTACCGCAAGTACTACATGACGCATCATGACGTCAAGTACAAGTTCGACACACTCAAACAGGTCATTCTGCCGCTGGATCTAGCGGCTCGCATCGCCGATCACTTTGGCGTGGAGGTCGCGTACGAAGCCTTGGAGCCGCAAGACATCGTCTCGGACCCGTCGCTCGGCGTGCTGGTGTCGCGACCGCCCGTGATTGCCGTCATGGGGCATGTCGATCATGGCAAAACTACTCTCATGGACACCTTGCGTGGCGCGAACGTGGCCAAGCATGAGGTGGAGAACATCACGCAGAAGATACACGTGTGCGACACGATGCTGGCGCCCGACGTTCCCGTGACTTTCCTGGACACTCCTGGCCATTTTCACTTTACGAGGATGCGCAACAACGCCGCAGACGTAGCGGACGTGGTGGTGCTGGTTGTGGCGGCGGACGAAGGGTGCCGCTTGCAGACGGACGAGTCCATCGGGTGCATCGAGTCGCTGGATGTGCCCACCGTCGTGTGCGTCAACAAGGTCGATCTCGTGACGCCATCCACAATCGACAAGTACGTGTTTACATGTATTTGATATATATATAAACATGCATAGTATTGCATTTGGTCTGGGATATACATATGTGTACGGTTTGTGATACCGGTATCAATTATTGTGATTCGGGACATATGTATCTTGTACTCGGAATATATATATATAGATATGTTATATTTTGGTTATAATATATGTTGTATATATAGTATTTGGGATATTTATATCGTAGAAGTATTTGGGATACGAAGTACTCAGTATATATATACAACGTACTAACTAGTATGGAAGATATCAATTACTGTGCTTCGGGGTCTATATAATATATAAATTGTATTCGGAATATATATTTATCTACTGTATTATTGGGGACATGTACCGTTTCCGTACTACGTATTCCGATTTTTGGGAGTCCGCACAGATACATCGTTATTGATATATATCATATATGTATATATATCATATATGTATATATATATTTATGAATGCTTAGGATCCGAGACCAACTTGACGAATATGTGGCGTTGGAGTCGAGTCCAGTGGTGCCCATCTCGGCCAAACTCGGCACGAACCTCGACACTCTGAAGAAAACCCTGCTGCATGTTCTGGAAGACCAAGTGCTCACCATGCACGCACACGTTGATCGGGGCACGCAAGGTTATATATATATATATGTGGCTTTATAGTATTTAATATATATATATATATATCTTGAAACAAACAATTGATAGGCACGGCGTTGGAAGTGGTGGCGTCGATCGGACGCGGCACGGTTTTGCGCATTCTCGTACGAAGTTGGTATTGGAGAGTGTATGTCAACGACAGAATGTAGGTCCAGCACGGCGCGCTGCGCGTGGGCGACCACTTTATCTGCGGCATGTTGCATGGCGTGGTGAAGAACCTGAAGCGCGCGAACGGCGATGACGTGGCAGTCGCGTGGCCAGGGCACGTGGTGGACGTGTGTTTCAAGCGGCTGTCCAAGCACAAGGATGCGCCGCTCGAGTTTTCATTGCATGTAGTGACGAAAGATCGGGCCGAGGCGGTTCTGCACCAGCGGTACGATCTACCAACTAACTAAACTCATCAACTACTAGTACTTCCTCTGTTCCAGGTTATTTCAAAATTCGCATGTTCCACGTTACTGGCGACATTTGCATTTCATTGGCTGTAATTCTTCAATTTCTATCAATATCGAACATTTATGACATTTCATTGGCTTACAAATGCTTTAAGCACTGATTATATACCAATCTTTTGCGAAAATTGATGCAATTCCCTTTCAAAGTATCATTCGCCCAAATTGAGTGAGGGCTCGATTATCTGTGTAAATGTCGGCAGTAACGTGGAACAGAGGAAGTACATACATATCGTCCTTGGTTGTTGAGTGTAATGGTTGGACGAGTAGCGAACTGGCCATGGATTTCCAAGCAGCGGTCGAAGTCGCCGATGATAACGAGAAGGTGGACGACGAGATGCCGGCCAAGGGGTTCTTTGGCACGCCGATCGTGATCAAGACGGACACGGCGGGGTCACTCACGAGCATTCTGGACACGGTGGACGCGTCCATGCCTGGCATCCACACGGCGCACATGGGGCTTGGCCACGTCACGACCAAAGACGTCGAGCGCGGGTGCACCATCTTCGGCTTCAACGTCCGCGTGGGAGCCAGGGAACGCAAGCTGGCCAAGGACCAACATGTGAAGATTGTGATTCGACCTACGATCCATGAGTTACTCGAAGAGATTGCCCTCGTTGCTGACGAACACGACGAAGAGTTGAACGAAGTCGGGAAGGACTAAAGCAGCAATCAATCAATCATCGTTAGAGGTCACTCCAATAGACCCATCGTCTTGAATTGCATAGGAATTGAGATAGATGCTGTGAATCGTAGTTGAGGTTGTACGAAGGATTGATATTAGTAACCTTAGTAGTTATGACGGTAATTATCATAAACTAACTGTTCCCAAGTATAATAGTATTATGTTAATTTGGTTTGATTGTATGGGTAAATGGACAAGCGATTGAGAGCATCCACGACGTTTTCTATTTTAACGTTATTATAAAATAGTCCCAAGCAAAATTATTATTATTATACACTCGAGATTGGAACGTTATGGGTGATTTCTAGAACACTGTGAAATGTCCATACGTGAGTATATATATATATATATATATATATATTGCCACTAGACTAAAATAGGTCTATGCATTATTGTAGAGTGAGCAACTAGTTTTATTTAGTATTCCTGCGACACAGTGTTGTGACGAGTTGTCGTGACCCACAGCACATATGTCATACACGCAATGGTGTTCCAAACAACAATGTCGTGGACAACGTCGTCAATCCCGACCAATGGCAGGCCGTACAGCACGGTTAGAAACGTCCCGAACGCTACCCACGGGGACGCACAATGACCGATGGGGTTGAACGTTGCAGTCGAAGCTGGGGGGTCACACGCTAACTCCACTACGGGCGTCTGCGTCGTTGGCTGTGGGTCGTTCGCTGGACTTGTTTGTGGTGCTGCCACGTCATGGGTCAAGAAAGGGGGCGTGGGGGGGCGTCGTTGCATGGCGCGTTGGACGTGGAGCATGCAGAAAGCTTGGTCCAGCGCGACTTTGCGCTGAATGTACCCTGGGATGTTGCCTTTAAGGTCCATTTTGATCAGGAACGACACTTTCGAGTGCGACGCGCCTAGCGCTGCGATCGTCCACCCTGCGACGTGGATTTCCCCGCGCACGAGCCCGGGGGATGGCGATGGTTTGGACGGATCGGAAGTGGCGACGGCGACCAGCACGATGGATCCGTCGGGCAGTTGGCGCCAGTGCACGAGGTTGACAAAGTCGCGGCCGGCCACCATGAGCACGGCCTTGGACGCAAAGTAGTCGATGGCGGTGTGGCTGTCCAACGTATGAAGGCGCGCGCAGGAAGCGCAGGCGCTGTCGTACTCTGGTCGTTTAGATGCGTCAAATAGGAAGGTCGCGACGTGCGCGGGAGGGAACGGCAGGCTCCCGACGCCGAGGACGGAGAGGAGGGTACCTTCGTCCTTGGAATACGCGCGGACGCCTTGCTTTTCAGAGTTGAACGTCCACTGGTCGGAAATGTTGACCACGGAGTCCAACATCGCGGAGATCGCGGCATCGACGGAGGCGGCGTGTGCTGCAGGAATATCGTACGAGGGTTTCTTAGGCGATGGAGGGTTGTTCTTGATAGGAGAGGGAAGGGGGTGCCCACGCCGAGAGTCGATGGAAGACTCAATGGGCGCGGTGGAGCTCTCGGACAATCGACGGCTGCGGTGGCGCGACGACAAGGAGAGGCGCAGGAATCCAAGCCCCTTCTTCTTCTTCTTCTGCACGCTTACGTCCGTTGGATACTGTTCCGTTGCTGGAGTCGTCGTCGCATAGTCCTGTGAGGACATCCGCTTTGCCGTGCCGCCCTCCTTCATGGTGGGTGCTGCAACGTCTGATCTCGTCTGCGGTTCCACTTTCATGGCGCCAGCAACCCATTTCATCTCCGCCACGTTTACGTATTCCACACACATTTGCAAAAAACGACTTCAACTACTAGAGTAGTACTAGTACCTTACTACGATCACGAAGGTGATTAATTGAAATACTGGTACTGTAGTTTGATACGAAATATGTATATATATGTGAAGGATAATAATATTATCATTGGTGTCTACTACAGTATTCAATATACTAATCACGCAACGATGGACACTTCAAGTTGTGAGTAGTAAGCTAACGTTACTGATGGAGGTCTTCGTCGTCCAGCACCCCAGGGTGCTCCATGAATTCCCTCAAATGCCGAGTCAGTTGCGCAATTCCCGCTGGGTCCGCATACCGAGGATTGACTTGGACATTGAGGCACAGCATGGGTCGCACGACTACCTGATCTTCGCCATCTCCTCCTTCCACCACTACAGCTCTCTTGGCGATCGCACCTACTATCACCGTCAACGGAACATGGCGGAACATGGAAATGAACGCGTCGTCCAGTCCCATTTTCCCAACGTCAGCCACGATGGCATGGGTACCCCGATGCGGTGTCACACCCATGCTTGGCACTTGGTGGCTCAGCCATTCCGCGATGTCGATCCAAAACTGAACCAGTGCATGGTGAACCACCGAAGCCCAGTGAGTGGGCTTAAGCCCACACGAATTAGATGGCGATGACAATCCAGCATCATCGACTCCTGACGCCACGATTGTCGCAATGGAGTGGATAGATAACGTGTCTGCCCCCGCAAGCGTCACATCGTATGTATCGTCGTGGCGGTGAATGAGGCAGGACACGTTCACGGCGCCATTCGACGGATACAAAGACCCAAACGCCGCGTAGCCTTTGAAGGACGGCGTATGGCGCACCGCGCGAGCCACCGCGCGCACGACAATGTCGGGGAGGGTGACGACTGCGCCTCGCTTTTCAAGGTGCTGGATGTACGCTAACGTGTCGGAGCAGTCGACAAGTATCGAGCCATGTACCGATGAAGCAGACAGGCTGGCTTTCCACGATGCAACAGGTCCTTGTTGACGACGGCGTAGAGACGGAGATCCGATAGTGAGGACATGGTAGCCAACGTACATAGCCCCAACGAGGATGCCGCCAAGTGAGAAGATATACGTGGCGCCTAGAAACGCAAGCAAGGATACGCCCCATGACATCCAAACACTAGCATCCTCAGTCGTGTGGGTGGGGATGGCTGGAGTGTCATCGATCCACGTCATGGATCCTTTCTTTGCCGATTCTTTGGACAGTTTGCTAGTAGATTCACTTGTTAAAGTGTCATCGGGGGGAACGAGGGGGGCGACGGGGGCTGCCGCGACTTGTCCCCTTGCATCGTTCACAACGGGAAACGATCGAATGTTTGGCAGCGCCTCGAGTTGTTTCCGGACCGCTAGGATGACATACGCTTGGTCGACCGCGATTTTGTTCTGGACAAAGGTCGGAATCGACCCTTTCAGGTCCAATTTCATCATGAATGATACGTCTGCAGAGTGCTGTCCGGTGGGCACAATGTGCCACCCCGCGACATGAACCTCCCCTCGAATGAGCCCCGGGTTCACGGGCATTTGGTCAGTTTGCGTGGCCTTGGCCACCACCGCGATGGACTGGTCCGGCAGCACTCGCCAGTGCACGACGTTGACAAAGTCTCTGCCGGACACAATCAGCACCGGCTTGGACGCGTAATAGTCGAGCGACGTGTGCGGGTCGAGGCGGGCGATGGCGAACGCCGCGGCGCACATGGGATCGTACGCGACCTTTCGGCTCGTGTCCAGCAGGAACCCGAGGATCGTCGAGGCTGGGAAGGCCATGGAGCCCACGCCCAGGACCGACGTAAGCGACGACCCGTCCGGTTGTTTCGAGTAGGCGCGGACGCCCTCCTTCTCGGATTGAAACGTCCAAGAGCTCAATCCGGTGGCAGTGGCGACTAACGTGGCAATGGCCGAGTCGATTTCATGGGCGAACTGACGCGGAATCGAGTATGCCCCTACATCCCTCGCATTGGTCCTAGGGGACTTTTCGAAGATGTTGGAAGAAATAACGTTTGGGAACGGTTGAGGGAGGGCGCCATGAGCTCGCGGTGACGTGGGCGATCCGGGGGGCTCCAGCAACACTCGCAGCGCGTCCAACTTGAGCGCCCGCGAAACGACGACGTGGTCTGGCAACGTTTCGTCGCCGTCAACATGCACGACGTACGTGACTTCGGCGGCTGTGTCGTCCAGATTTGGCACGATGTGGAAGCCTTCGATGCGAAGCACGGCGGGGTCCGAGTGTCGGGATTTGTTCAAATGCTCTATGTCGTTTGGAACGGACTGCGACACGACGACCACCGACTGGTCGGGCAGGGTACGGCGGTGGGTCAGCACGACGTACTGGCGGCCTCGACTGGGAAACATGGTGTCTTTGGTCGTGATGTACTGCATCGTCGTGTTTTCGTTGAACGTGTGGACGGTCGTCGAGTCGCGAACGTGGGCGTCAAAGGTAGGGTCCACGACCACACTGGCAATGTCGTCCGCTGGGTGCTTGAGCATGAGTTTGCTCATTGCCGCGGCAGGCGCCTGGCAATAGTACAATTGGGTCGATTTTACAGCTGAGTGGTCGGTTTCGAGGGTCCATCGCGCTGTGTGGTACACGTACTCACTCAAGAAAGTGGCCACCATGGTCTCAACCACGTCGAGGTATTTTGGCGGGACGCCCCGGTTGTCAGCGGATGGAATGTCGTACGGCAGCGACGGAACAGCGGCTGCTCGATGTGGCGCCCTCGGAGTTGGAACGGCGACGTCAAGTTGAGCGTGAGCTACGATAGCGTCGAGCCAAGTTGACAGCAAGTGGGACTCGGAAGTGGCCAAGAGCAGTTGCTTTGTCGAGGCGCGACTGGGATGCGAAATGACAAAGCTGCACCCGTCTGGGTCGGACGTGGCTTCGGCTGTGCATCCCGCCAGCAAGATGGTCATGGAAGGATAGTTGTGATGCTTGTGCTTGAACAGGTACAACACCCCTCGGTCCAGACACGCGTACCGAGACTTCCAGTCGGCTTTGGACCGTTTGAGTAAGTACCCCGACAGTGTGGCCATGGTGGAATTGCACTCTGAAGGGTGTGTGGGTGGATTCCATGATGGTTCAAAGCGATTGATTGCCTGCTATAATTGGTGTAGCCCACCCTTGAGGCTAAAAATACCCACACCATATACTGTACTGTACGTAAAATACAGGGTAATTTCGACGAATTCATTTCCATCCTTATCTTTTTGAAAAGTCGCGTTTTCATCCTTCACTTCAACATTGTGCCTTAATTTTAGCCAATCGGTGATAGACCCCTTCATAACTAATAATCCCTTGCAATTCGATACGATACGTATTCAAACTTTCACGCCGAAACAGCAGCATGAAGGACGCAGCGGCGGCGCTCTTTGCGCGGATCGCCAACCTCTTCGTCGCCAACTTCACCGTGACATTCCAGAACGAACTACGCTTTATGGTAAAATAATATCTCGTGCGTCTTCCTCTCTGACGTGACTCTGTTTTCCTAGTCGGAGATGACGGGGTCCGTTGCCGCCCAAGCCATGCGAGCCGACAATGTGCCCGTGCAGACGATCGTCCGACATGCATCTACCGCGCTCTCTCGATTGTAATGTCCCTTTATTACGCATACTTCATTCTTCAGGTGCTTGTTTCCTGCACTTTCCACGTGAGCAACTGGGTGTGAACTGCATGATTCTCCAGCGCGCGGTCGACCTTGCGCGCCAACGACTCGAGTTTCTTCGCAAACTTGTCCGCAACCACCGATTGCGCCTTCACTTGATCTTTTCGCCCACAGGAAGCATGCACTTCGATCATAATCTGCACTTGTAGCTTGAGGTTTTTCGTGTGCATGGCAATCTTTAACGCATTCGTCAGCGTGCGTTCACCTTCGTCCAGGCGGCCTACATCACTGTCAAGTCAGCGTCCTCAAGACCCCACATCGCGCCTCACCAAACTCGATCAATTTCGGCCCGAACAGCACCATGATTTCCGCCGTGATGTTGCTGCAGTTGATAGAACTGGTCGACAGTTCCAAGCAATCCTGCAGCACTGACAGCATGTAGCTGCGGAGGGTGTCCATGTCAGGGTACGTGCCCACCAAGCCAAGGCACTGCGTCCCCCACAGCCACTTGCACAAGTACAGATCGTACTACATATCGTCCCATCATTCTCCATCAGGCCTACGTAACCAGCGTTTTTCATACCTTGGCACGGACTTCTTTGCTCGGGCCGTTGTAAATGAGCGCCCGCAGGTTCGTATCGCGTAGTACTCCCGCAGCAAACTCGAGTAGGTTGTCGTCGGGGAAGAATGGCTGCACGACGGCGGGAGGCGCGCCGGCCTTGGGCAGCGGAAAGCACGACATGGCCGTGGCGACCTCCAGCAGCCCCATCATGTGCATGAGGTGGACGTCCGACAGCTGCGGCCACTGCGGGGTGTCCTCCAAGATGAGCGCGAACGCGGCGTTCACGTGGTTGATCGCGTCATCCATGCAGTTGACTGCGTGGGCATACTGCAATTCGAAATATGAGAATGTTGGTCGTTTGTTCGACTTTTTGTGGAATGTAGGTCTGGTTGTAGGCGGAATGTTGGTCACATACCTTCGCCAAGAGAATATGCACGGCGGTGCGCATGGACGTATGCCGACCGCTTCGAGCGACGTTTGGCAGGTCCACGACACGCAGCAGCTCCGTGGCGAGATGGCCGACCTCCCCATACCGTCCTTGGGCGTCCAAGAGGTGGCAGATCGTGAGATGCGCGTCGAACCACAGAAACGGCGGCGAGTCCCTAGCGTCGGACTGCAGCGCCGACAGGAGCGACGAGGACATGGAGATGGCGGCGGTGGGATTGTAGTAAGCGTTCACTTGCAGGTGAAGCAGTGCTGGGAGGTGACGCCACGTGGAGGGCAGCAGGGTGGGGTATTGTTGGGTTAGTGTCTCCAGCTCTTGGACAAGGGGCCCGGCACGCACGACGTCCCCAGTGCGAAACAGCAGCAGAACGTGCAAAAGCACAAAGTACATGCGAAGGTCGGGACGCGACGCGGCGAGCTGGGTGGAGAAGCCGTCGCAGAACGTAAACAGCTTGGAGGATTCGTCGCTGGATACACTGGGCTGTTCAAGGATCGAGTGACACAGCACTTCCAACAGCCAGAGCTACGTAGCCATGGTTAGGAAGGCACGGGGGGGTGGGAATGGAGTGGACCTGCCTTGAACGCATCGCTCGACGTGCATGAAGCAAGCGTGTCGTAAACGACCACGGCGCATTCCCGAAAGGAAGATGCAAAGGACGCGGATGGCGAAGGGGAAGGGGACAAGCAACACACTGTGTGGATCTGCTTGAGTTGGTGCCGCAGCGCAGACCGGTACCACGCCAGCCATGTCGATAGATCGCCGGTTTGCTCACACAGGTGGATGCCCTGACATAACAGGTCGACATGGGCGCGATAAGCTTGGGGATCGGTTAGAATCTTGAGCATCCACTCGCACCGAAGTCGACGAACGCCCCACTAGTGCACGTGTTGAAAATTGACGTTGGACTTTGGCTGCAACTTGCTTGGTACCTCGTTGTGCGGGAACGGCAACGACGTTGAACCTCGCTGCTTGTAGGGGACGCGCTGGAGTATTCTTGACGCGTCGGGAAGTCTGTACGTCTTTAAGGCATTATGCTGACCTTCCATGGCAAGCATGAGATATAGCTCCGCGATGTACATGTCGACAATCTCGACTTGCCCTGCGGATAGTGTCGTGGACGTTGATGGCATACGTATTGCCTATGGAGAAAGTGGCCGGATTGGCTATCGAATCTGCATGAGGTGTCCATACCAAGAAGCATCTCAGTGCCTCCTTCTCTTGCTTGAGGTTGCTCAGCTCGCATCCCAGTGAGAAGAGTCCCAGCACTTCGTTCATCGTTCGCGCCGCCGATTTTATTCATGGCTGGATTTTGGCCAATCACAGTGCGGCCACTGGTATAAAAATGACTTCCCATTTGTATGAAGCAATTCAAATGGTGAATATTATAGTACTATTAATCCATGGCGTGCTACTAGTAGTACTACTAGCTCAGATTTGCAAAAAAATTGTGATGAGCGAGCTACAAACGCGACGGAGGATCGCTATCGATGGGTCGGACACTGGGCCGCGCACACGGTCTGGCCGTAGACAGCACGACGTAGTCCATATCGTCCGCTTGGTCGTCGGGCAGTCGGGCGTACATGTCGTGGAACGATTGCTTGCACAGCTGCGGTCGAAACGTGCAGGTTTTCGCGTTCTCTTTTTCGAGTTTGGCCTCGCGCTGCTTGCGCTTGGCGGCGTAGGTGGCGTGAACGTTGTAGAGGCTCTCAAACACTTTCTTCCTGCCTGTATTTTTGGTCACCATTTGGTGTGACTTGGCGCAGATCTTAGGATGCAGCGTCAGCTCCTGGTCGTCGGCGGCGTCGGCGCGCTCCTTCGTGGTGGGAATCGCATGCGATGGTGACGACTGAACGGGCGTTTGCTTGTCCCCGAAGAACAGCACTTGGGTGTGCGTCAGGTGTCGGCACTGCGCCAGCGTGGACTCCATGCACGCGTAAAAGTTGTCTTTCGGGATAGGCACCCATCCACACGTGTCAAATAGGCTGAGTGCCACGTGGCCTAGTTCTAATGACAGCGTGTCCATTTGCAGCAGTGTTGGGTCGAGCAGCGACTCGTCCTTTTCAACAGTCGCCGTCGACGTACTGGCTTGTTGTAGTAACCTACCATATCAAGTTATATCGCAATAATACATGGACGGGTGAAATGGTTGTGTAAGTACTTGAAAATACGATCAAAGCTCTTGACTTTGCGCGCTTTCAGGTGCATTTTCGACGTTTTGGAGACAAAGCTCTGCGTGCGGTGGTCCCGCAGAGCGTCCGAGTCCGCTTGCCGAAGTTGGCGGTGGATCTCATCAAATTCGCGTCGGCTTTGGTACAAAAATGTGCCTACAGTTACCACTTATCTAGCCCCAATTCCATGTCATATCAAGGCGTACCAATGGGGAGGTTCGTGTCGTTACGAGCAAACTGAGGCCCGCGTCCGGTCTCGGGGGTAAAGTAGGGCCGTCCGGTGGCCGGATCCTTGGCGGCGCCGTACTTTTCAAACAACTTGGCGCGGCTCTGGGCCAGCTTTTGCTGATCTTCGATCGCTAGACGCTGGACCAGTGCGTCCTTCGATGCCGGGGGCGCCACGAACGCGTTGATGCCGATGTTGGGTCGAAAGGAGAACTGCGCCAAGTAGGCGGCTTCGTGGTCCTTCTGCCGGGTGCGTCGGGCGTCCGCGTCGGCATACAGCGTCAAGTGGGTCGTGGCGCCGGTCCGCTTGTCTTTCACCAGGTCCGTGGATGTCGGGTTCACTTGCGGGGCGAACGGGTGGCGCTGATTGTACTCTGTCTTGGCCACCTCCTCGTGCTTTTGCCTTCGTAGTACCAACGTCGCGTTCGGTACGGGCTTTTTGTTCTCCTTTGACAAGAGCGTGGGCTGGAACATTGTTGGTTTCGGCTGCCCACACACCCTTATTGTTGTTGCTGTTATCGGATCTTTTGATTTCGTCGAGGATTTGTTGGTACTAATAGCCATCAACTAATCATCGTGCCAACATCATATATATATGTAGTATGCACTGTACATGGGTTGAGATGACCTCGAAGATGTTGTGGCGGCAGGTGGAGCTGGGATGACTACTGGCCCGACGGAATGTTGGCACTTGGCGTCTTGGTATCGATTCGAACACGCGCACTTGGGGCACATCCAGTCCGCGTGGTCGTCGCCAATCAGGTCTGCATGGGCCTTCTCGACAGACCGCGCGTCCGCAAGCTTCTTGCGGCGGGCGTTTTCGCTCACCGCTTCGCCGTACAAGCGCTCGCCAATGGAGCGATACTGGCCGTTCGTGCGGTTGGCCACGAGTAGCTTGGTCTTGTCCGCCAGCTGCAGCCGCTTGTCTGCCAGTTCCTTGGTCACTTCGTCCTCGCGCTTCTTTTGCGCCCGCGCTCGCCACTCCCGCTGGGCTTGAGCTAACGCATACAGCCGCTCCGACGCCGGCGGCTGCCCCCTCCGAGCGGTTGGTCCGCCCTTTGGGCTAGGGGTCGTTGTCTTGACAAGATCAAACGTCGACTTGGAGGACGATTTGCCAAACTTGTCCCGCAGCGCATTGTACGAGCGTTCTTTTTCAGTAGCCGGGGGGGGGTTGTGTTGTGGTTTTGACGAAGGATGCCGAGTTAGTGGCACGGGCCGGATCGACCGGATTTGCTCCGAGATGTGCGCCGTCAAGGTCGGAACGACGTCGGGGTCGAGGGAGTGCACAAGAGCAAACGTGGCCGCGAGGGCCTCGGCCTCGTCCCCCTCTCGAACTTGGATGCTTTCGGTGCGGCCGTCCCCAATGACCACTTCCATGATCAAAAGCAACTCGGCCGTCGTGTCGGTTTCTTGCAGCCCATTGGCTAGAGGCGTTGATGGGACAGCTGCCGTGGCCAGCCGCGTGGCAGCAGCATCGACGGCCGATTGAATTTCTTGACACAGCTTGTCGGGCATATCGAACGAGCTCTGAATGTTCCACTCCAAGTCTAGAGAGTCGTTGACCTGCACTGGAGGTGGGGGTGGTGGCGTTGCCATTGTCAACGAGGATGGTTCAATGTGTTGGTCACCGAAAGTCGACGGGATACCACTATACGGAGGGAGTGGAAGGATGCTAGCAGCGCCATCGTCATAGTCATCGTCGTCAACGAAATTGACGTCTTCCGACGAGAGTTTTGTGACGCCAGTGTCCCCGATTTGGTTGGCTGGTGGGGCAGGGGTAACAACCTCATGGTGGGTGTCAGCCTTTTCTGGTGATGGCTCCATCATGAACTCATCTACGAACACACAAGTAAGTGTGGATGGTGTGAGTCATGCCGACACGTACGTTTAGCGTCGGTCAGCCAGTCTTCAAAGTCGTCGGCCATTTTTGGGCGTGTGTCAGCGGTTGGTGAAATATGGTATGTAGCAGCCGTTTCAGAAACCGCCGCCGATTAAGCAGCCTCTCCATAGTTTCTTTGGTTGCCCTTTCAATCATCTCCAGCTGACCATCACCTTGACGCCATGGACTTTGCTACAGCGAACGACTACCTCGGTGTGCTCTCGTCGGTCTTCCAGCGCGTACGTTCGATCAACCTCCTCCTTCCTGCAGCTACGAGCTCATGTTCTTCTTGACTCACAGCAAACCATCAAAGACATATTGTACGAAGGGATCATGTACGTGGCTATAGTATATGGATGCTGCGACCGAGCCACGACCTTCACATGCGGATTACGCAGGTCCACAATGCTCTACTGGACCATCTTTGGCTACGCCGTCTCCAGCGCCCCCCTCGCCGTGTGGAATCTACACAAGTACAACGTCCTCCGGTCCGTCTCGTGGCAAGCGGTGGCTGGCGTGTCAACTTTGCTGTTTACCGCAGCGTGGCTCTTTGCGGACTCGACCCCCGCGGACAAGGTACAAACTTGCCCAAAGTGGTTGAACAACCAACCTGGTTAGCATAGATCTTTTTGGGGCTGGGGTCCATTGCTGGTGTGTTTTGTACACATTTGCATTTTGAAATCGCAGAGTTGATTTCTGGACATATCGAAGCAGCCCACCAGAAGAAAGACGAATGACGCTGCATTGAACGTATCAGTAGTAGCAAGTCTAACGTTACCATTACAACACAGTCAGCTTAGAGTTAATGTAGAAAATCGAGTTGTATTCATCTAATCCATCGTTATCTATACTTGCGCAATTCAAATCCTGGCCAAGGGACTGACGGTCCTGTCGTCCAACTTCTTTTTGGGGGCGAGCTACTTGGTCTCGGAACCCTTGCGCAAGGTGCGACGACATGCAGGGCATTCTTGCAGCTGGATGTGTGTTAACCGTCTCATACAGGACAGGGTATTACGGAGCTGCTGCAAGCCGGCTTGTTACTGCAAACGTGCCTCTTTCCTGCGTTCTGGCAATTTCCTCTTGCGTCCGCGAAGAAATTCCCTGGATTTGACGGCGCTGTCCGCGAATACATCGTGTCGGCCGTCGCGGCCGCTTTGTTGTGGAACAACTGCATCTTGGTAACAAGGAAGTCGAAGCGTTGGTCACAGGTACATCGTATGAACGAAAAACTCTTGTCCTTGCTTGCTACGTCCATTCACCGCGTCATTGCTCGTGTAGCGCATGGATGGACCGCCCAAGGCAGGCTTCGGACTTATAAATGTTAATATTTAGATAGCAAAAAAAATCTATTTTTTAAGTGAGGTTGGATGGATGCAATTATCTATTTTCAGTGTTGGTAGATATCGATAATCTATTTTCAAGCTCGACCAATTATCCTCAACACACCTTCGCCACACAATTTTGACAATGGCGTGGCGAAGGTGTTGTCGTAACGCGAAGACGTGCTGACTGCTGCAGAGAAGGATGCATTGGTCATGCTCCTGTTGGATATTGATACTACGCTGTAAAGTTAAAATACTCAGCGGTCACATAATGGCGTACTAGCTGCAATAGCAGCTAGCGGGCTTAACTACTTGAAAACGTATTTGTGTCGGGCTCCAGGGTACATGGGCTCCTTAAATCACTGAAGGTGGTATCGCGGGGTTGAAAGTCGCGGTGGCCTGAGTGGCGGGTCGGCGTAGCCAGTAGTAGAGAGAGTCGTCTGGAGTGCCAGTGGAGCGCCATGGCTGTGAGGTGGATTCTGCTGGTACGGATGCGTGGGTCGTGGCCCATGGGGGCGGCATCGTGTTAGTTTCGTTTGAGCCGGATGGTGTTGTTGACCTCGATGAGGAGGCGAAGTTCCCCGGCGGACCGTATGTGGTCTACGTTGGTGGTGCATGTGGATTGCCACTTTTGATAGAGGGTGGCCCAGTGCGCCGTAAAGCATTGAGTATGGAAATGTGGACGTGTAGGTGGGTAATAGTGGCTGCCCAGGCACGTGTGGCATGTGTCATGCTGGGGAAGGTTTTCCAGCCTGTGGTAGCCTGGTATTGTAGCCCCTAGGTATGAGCATGAATCGAGAGCATATTGGTCGTAGGCGGGGATGGAGGACTGGGCCCAGTGTAGGCAGTGTGTGAGGGCAGTGAGTATCCGTGGCGCTGCTGTGTGACCTCCAGGCTGGGGAGGGTGGCTGGGGGAGGCCTATGCAGCCAATGGTTAGCATCGATGAGTTGAAGTGCGGTAGTCCTGTGCTGTTGGGCAGACGTGAGTGGGTCCAGTGTGTTGCCAGTGGTGAGGAACCCAATGTGGATTGGAGCGGGGTTGCCTAAATCAAGTTTACCCCAGTGTGGGGTGGGGTGTGGTGGACGGAGGAAACGTGGCGAAGTGAGAGGTGGCGCGGGCGTATGGTGAAGAGCCATGTGGTTTGTAGCTGGACGGCTATTGCATGGCCGTGGGAGCCATCGGGAACAACAAACCAGTAGGTGGTCGGTGTATGGTGAGCGGTTTCGGCCTGTACGGCCGTGGTTAGTAGGCGCCACAGGGGTTGTGAGTGGAATCTATCCACCAGTGGTGGTTAGACGGGTGGCGGGGGATTGTGCAGTGGGGGGAATGTCCAAGTGGGCCCTGAAAGGTAGCCTCATTGGGGCCGCCAATCCACTGACCAAACCAGAAGTGACGTGGTGCAAGGAGGGGGTTGATCGTAGGGCGGTGTGATAGAGCCAGTGCGGGGTAAGCAGCCCGGCTTTGGGCACTGGTTCGATTAGTGGAGTGGTTGAACGGTTCGGTGGGTGTCGGGCTTTCGGGCTTGCGCCATGGGCTAGTCACGTCGACCGTAAACTGCACCCAGTCATGGGGCCGTTGCGCCAGTAAACGGCCTGTCGTGTTCATCACGAAGTTCCCAGAAGTCTGGGATAATGAGGTGAGCATAATTGGTGAGGGGAAGAAGCAAGCAAGCTGATGTGCCAGGGTAGCGAGGAGTCCGCTTCAGCTAGCAGGGTGCGTTTGGTCCGGAGGATTGGGTCCGTCGTCGTATCCGCGGGATTCTGATGCGAGCGGATCCAGTCACCTGCAAAGGTTCCAGCATTGGTGAAGAGAACCATGAGCGAGCGGAGTTCCACCCTGTGGAAGTTGCTGTAGCGCGGGAGGCCGCCGCGACGTTGTAGGGAGCGAGCGAGGACTACCAGTCCAATGGCTCTAGTGTTGTCGCAGATTTGGAGAGCAGCATCTCCAGAGTGATGTAGGTCAACCAGGAGGCTACGTAGTTCGCAGAGCGTGGGTGTGAAATGACCAGCGTGTACTTGTATGGATCCAGCGAGGGTAACTAGTTAGTGCCGTCTCGGCCCATGTAGCTCCATGTACCGTGAGCAATCGGGGTACCTTGGTGGGTGACTCTGCCATCGCCGACAGAATGATTGCGCGCAACCCGCAGGGGAAGGGTTTGGAGGCCTTACGTCGGGGTGCAGTGGTCCGAACGACCCGGCAGTGTGGGATGCACGTTCTGTGGTGCCATTGACCACAGTCTAGACAGATAATACTGTCCACTAGGCGGTGGCAGGGGTAAAGGCCGGCATGACGTGCGGGGGCGGCTGGTGCGCTGGAGGGGTCTGGGCCGGGTCGGTGGTGGCTGCCGCAGTTGAGGCAATGAGGGTTCGGTTATTGTCACTGCGGTGGATGGTACGAGTGCGCGGATTAGTCCAGGAAGAGTCGATCCAGGGGAGGAACTTGAGGCGTTGGGCCCGGCTGGTGGGGAGGAGGCAGCCGGTAAGAGCTGCACAGCCCGCAATGGGTACCAGGCGGTGGCGGCCTCGTGCTTCACGCGGTGTTTGAGAGTACCACATGTCGGAGTCCTTACAGAGTTCGGGCCAGAAAGTGACGGCGATGTCAATGCCCGCCTGTGTTTGCCGGTTTTGGAGACTGGTACGACAGCCGATGCGGTAGCTGAGAATGGGGGGTCGTGGCAGCGAACGACGACAACCAGAGAAGTTCAAAGAAGACATTGCGTTCATGAATTTGTTGGACACGATAACATCTTGTCTCGTTAAGTATGTGAATCCATCGCCCCCGTATTTCGTTCGTTCTTGGTGTGCTACAGAATCACGTTCCTGTTCGTTTAATGAATGCAAAAATTATGATCCTAGGAGGTATTTCCTTGATTCAAAGGTATATTTGATTTCAGGAGTATAACGTGCATATACAACTCCACCAGCTTTGAAATGAAGTTTCAGCACTTACTGTTAATGGAACTACCGCTGTACAATAATAACCCCTTTATGAAACAATTTACAAAACACAGTAGTTTTGTATAGCCAATGAAAGTTTATTAAAAACATCATTCCGAAGTAATACACACAATCTCAACTTGAGGACTTCACACTACTGGTGCGATAAATTTGTGCACAGATCCTTTAGATGTATCCAATCAAAAATTAGTTAACGATGTCGTTGCAGCCTCCATTCAAGTGCAAAATGGATGACGCTCTTGTGCTGTGTGTTGTTGTTGCGGTTGCCATCGAAGCCGCCTTCTCGTCGACCGATGCCCTTAGCGACCGTTCCCCTATTACAAACCACTGTGTCGTACCGAGCAACACTTGGACTATTGCCCAGAATACTCCGACTCTTGGCGCATGGTTCACGCGACACCTTCTATGCACGCGTGGCACATACGTGGGTATCTTCACCAACGTTGAGGTAGCAAGGCATCGCGTTCACCCCTTACTCCGTCACATCAACATAATGATCATCCATGGCCTGCACTCTGCACTACCTCACGCATTCGGACGGATACGAACCAGCCACAGCACTATTTGACATATCCAGGACGCGCGCGTATGTGTATTGTTATCAAGTAATACTTACTGGTCATTCAACTTTGCTACGTCTTGGAAACAATTGTGTTGCCGTCATGACGTGCGGAGTGGAAGCTTGTCCGCGAAGGGTTTGAAGAGCACGGTTTTCCGAACGCGTACGGGGCCATCGATGGCAGTCTCTTTCAGTTGAAGCGTTTTGAAGACTTCTTTGGTTGGTACTGCCGCAAGGGCTTTCTCGCGTTCATCACCGGGTGCGTTTTATGTCCTACTCGTTGCACTCCGGGAGCCAGAACGACAAGGCTCTCTTCAATGACTCGGCATTTGGGCAATCGTGCCACACGAAGGTTCCCCCCCGGCGGTGCTTTTTGGGCGACGCTGGCTACAAGCTCTTCGCACATGTAATGAACCCTGTACTCTATCGTCTCGCACATGGATCCGAAAGAAGCCAACTTAAACTTGGTCCACAGCCGGAGTTGAACGTTGAACGTGCTTTCGATCGCTGGAAGAACAAGTTTCGTATCTTCAAGCACGAATTGCTGCATTATTGCTCACAAGACATGGCAAGATTGATCGAGGTATCTTTAGTCCTACACAACTGGTATATTGATTACGACGACGATTTTGTGGCCCCAGTGGAACCCAAAGATCTATCTAAGTCCACTTCGGCATTCCGCTAGTTGGCACGAGACATGGCTGGAATGGCATGGTCCTCACTGTCGTGTTCGTCTCCAGCTTCTAAATTCCTCGCGATCTCGTCAACGCCTTCGACAGCGAGGTGCTCTCGAATCCAAATTCGATATCTCCAAGTCCATGGAGACCCGCCTACGCCGTTACGATGTCACCATAGTACGAGGGTCTCGACTCAGGCTCTTCGTTACCAGTTCGAGCGATTCAGTTCGGACTTTCTTCAGCTTGTTCTTGATGAGTCAGCATCGACCTATGTGATATGAGAACGATTCAACGTCATGCGAGGTTTACATTCACGGACTAGTTCGTTGCAATGTTGAATTGCACGGAAAGTCGCTCACAAAGCGAGCTCAGTTGCTTGGACGACTTGTTCCCATTGAATGCGTTGCGGAAGACGCTGACTCGGAGCTCCAACTATGCGGTGACCACGTTGTCCGTGAATTCGACTGGGTCACGCTTTCGAGGAAAGATGACCTTGTCTGCTGTATCCGTTGCGGAGTTGCTACAGCGACACGATGTTCCAGTGCTTTGTCAAGAAGTAACAACCATTCACATGTTTGTATGTTGCGACAATATATAAGGACAAACAAAATACAAGATAAACAAAATCAATTGTGATGGCTCGAGGGAAAGAAACTCAATGAGCGCCAAGTTGGGGAGATCGTCGCCCGTCGTGCCCATGGGAAGTCGCTTCGCCAAATTACCAGCCAAGTTGGGTCTACAAAGACACCCATAGCCACGGTGCTGCGCCACCCTGCCGGTTATGCCACCCCAAGGCCAGCGGGTCGCAACCCGAAGCTATCCGACCACACAAAAGCGCCGATTCTGCGAGAAGCGTCTAAAGGCCTAAGCAGTGCTTCTGAGTTATTCACCAGCAACTGCAACTAGATGTACATGTGCGTACCGTTCGGCGACTCCTCCAGAAGATGGAACACTTAGAGCACGTCTTCCGTGTTGCAACCCCAATGCTAACGGCTGCCCACAAAGCAGCGCGTCTGAAGTGGGCAGAGACCTATGTCACCATGGACGAAGGCTGGAAACGTGTTGTCTTCTCGGACGAGAAATAATTCAACCTCGATGGCCCCGACGGTTACCAGAAGTACTGGCATAACAAGCGACAGCCCAAGCAGCAGTGAATGAACCGCCAACAAGGCGGCGGCAGCGTCATGATCTGGGCAGTCTTTTTATGGTTCGGCAAGAGTCGCGTTGCTCTGTTACAAGGTCGTCAGGATTCGGAGGCATACGTTTACACGTTGTCGGAGTTACTCTTTCCGTTTGCCAACCTCCATTATGGTACTGACTTCATCTTTCAGCAGGATAATGCTAGCATTCATAACTCGCATGCAACAAAAGCATTTTTGGAAGAAGACGATGTTAGTGTTTTACCATGGCCTGCCCTTTCGCCGGATCTGAATCCGATCGAGAATGTTTGGTAGTGTTTTATCGCGCAAGGTGTACGATAATGGGCGGCGCCAGTTCAGTTCAAGGCGTGATCTCATGCGTCAGATCACTTTGTCCTGGGACGAGATCGAGCAGTCATATCTCGAAAAGTTGGTGACCTCAATTACATCTCGGTGCCGGTGACGAAACTAAGTACTGATTTTGTCTATCTTGTTTTTTGTATGTCCTTGTGTATTGTCGCAACATACAAACATGTGAAGGTTGTTACTTCTTGACAACCACGAATTAGTTGTTCTGGAATATGCTACGAATCTGCCACACTGCCCTGAGCGACATATCTAAAAGTCAGCTGATTTTGCTCATTTTTGACCTCGTGGCGTCAAAAAAAATACTTTTTATCCACTGTCCTTTCTATTTGTCGCGCACTGTAAGGGTCGTTGCTAACCGTTTGACAGTAACCAGCGATCTTCTATCGATATACTTTAACAAAGTTAAGCAATTGCATCATTCTAAGTGGGAATTTATTGGGAATCGAAGTATGGAGTCGTAATTCGATGAAACCTCAAAACATGATCAATAGAATGCCCGAATCGATACGCGCTACGCCTCGAATACTATTAAGGATGAGCGGAGGCCATGGACGACATAGAAGTTGGCATGTGATGCCAAAACGAGGATGTTACATGTTTCATTTCGATTGCAATTTTTATTGAGTTCAATTTTTAATTTGAGCTATTCCATTTTCATCGGGCTCAGGACACAATTCATCGGGCAGATGGCCAATTACTTGGACACACGGCTAATTATATCGGGCACACACCAAATATATTGGGCACACGACCTCGATGGGCCAAATTAAATGGGCACATGGCTAATTATATCGGGCACACTACCAAATATATCGGGCGCACGGCCAAACACCTCGGGCATTCGTCCAACTTACTGTAAACTGCAAAATGGAGTATTGTGCTTTTCATTCGTTGTGGCTATTCACACCATAAATGTGGATGTATAAGATCACGTTTCGTTACAGAATGTAATTATAGGGAGGTCATTTATGCAACCCCCTCGCTTTTGCACATTTGAAAGGTGCAAATCGAAGTTATATCTGCTATTATCGGGACCAAATTGCACAATTCACTGGCCATCATGAACAACTTTTGAAATTACAAATGACACACAGCGAGGACATGCGCCGGACTTCTACGGAACAGCAATGTACGTATGGTGCCACATCGTTGAAAGCCACGCCATCTTCTTGTTCAATCGCGTAGTACATGCTACCTGCATGTACTACGCGATGGAATAACAGTCAAGGTGTTTTGGTCACATGTGATTATTATTGCTCAGAGTTATTTGGCATTTATAAAACCCCAGTGAATTAGCTAAATCACCAGGTATTTACTCAACCTTGTAACACAGTTACAGCAGAAGTACCTCTCTTTTACTGTAGCCACGTAAAACCGACGCCAAAACAAGTGGAAAGCACAATAGTATTGACAAAAACTAAAATTGAACGATAGTTGGTCGAATTATACCGGTGGTGGCTTGGTGAAATATAAACGTGAAGTATGAGGTCGCCACGAAATGAACTGTTTGTTGTACAGTGCTGGCAAAAAGTTTAGGACCACCTAGAAATTGGACAGGTTAGCACACTCAAGTAGTTAATCTCTGAATTTACAGACATTCTAGCAATACCAAGGTCACTTGCAAACCATCTTGATATTTCTTGCAACTTGGCGCCAAGTGCTCATCACCCCATGCTGAAAAAACGTCATATCACAAAAAACCACATGGCAATAAGTATAAAACCACCCTTTCATTTTTGAGATTCTTGGCGTTTTTTAGCACTAAAAACTCGTTATATATGCTCCTCTTGGTGAGTTAAACTGATTCCCGCCTTTCCTTGATTTCAAAACATCATCGTTACATGCCAGCGGGACCCAAGCTCACGGAGGAAGAACAGGGCATGATTATGGCCCTGAATGCCGTCGGCAAAGGCCAAAGAGAGATAGGACGACTTATAGGTCGCTCTCGAAGTGCTATATTGCTTTGTTTTTAAGCAACCCAGTGGCCTACAATACCAACAAGCGTAGTGGACGGCCACCAAAAGTAACTGAAAAAGACGTGCGCCGCCTCCTTCGAACTGCTTCCAACTCCTTCTTGAGCTCACGCGAGCTTGTTGACGAGTGCCAGCTGACGATAAACGCCAGGCGTGCACATCAATTGCTCAACAAGTCAAAGCACCTCAAGTTTATCAAGGCAATGGCGTCGCCAACCCTCACGGAACAGCATAAGAAGGCCCGTCAATTGTGGGCACGTGAAAAGGTCACCTGGGGTGACCGTGATTGGGCCAATGTCGTCTTTAGTGACGAAAAGAAATTTAATCTGATGGCCCTGACGGCCTTAAGTACTATTGGCACGACCTACCCAAGGAAAAAACGATATTTTCCAAGCAGCAATCAGGTGGTGGCAGCGTCATGGTGTGGGGCGCATTTAGCGCCAAGGGAAAGACAACTCTGGCCATTTTGGAGGGCACTCAAGATAGCGCTGCGTACGTGGAGACGTTGTCGGACCACCTGTTCCCCTACATCGACTACTATTTTGGCCGCGAGTGCATTTTCCAACAAGACAATGCCTCTATTCATGGATCCAAGGAGACCAAGGAATTCTTGGAGGCGCACAACGTACGCGTTATGGAGTGGCCAGCGAAGTCTCCGGACTTAAATCCCATTGAAAACATGTGGGGTATCCTTGCACGTGCTGTCTACGCACAGGGACGTCAATTTGCGTCGAAAACGGACCTCATTGCTGCCATTTTGAAAGCGTGGGATGAGATTGGGCAAGACCTGATTGAAAAGCTGTTGCGGTCGATGCAGAAGCGTTGTATCAGTGTCTTGGAACTCAAGGGGGGTAAAACAAAGTATTGATAGCTATTTTGATGGTAATCGATATGCAATAATGCTTTTTTCATGTGAATGGTGTTATACTTATTGCCAGTCAAAAATATCTGATCTTATCATAGCGTGATTTTGGATGCTAGAATGGACATATTTGTTGTTCTTACCAGCCTAAATTTCGTATTAAATCACTTGAACAATGTCGTGGAATCGTGTTATCGCATGGTGCTAATGTAACGGACAAATTTTGGGGTGGTCTTAAACTTATTGCCAGCACTGTAAATGGCCATCCATGGTCGAAATATATCTGTGTCAGGTGAAACATACTGCAAGCTAAGCGAAATATAGTGAAAAAGTGCTGAAATTATCCGCAAAAAGGTGTACTATGGAAAAAGCAATGCGCATTGAGGAAAATTAGCATTCGGATAAATAATCCGGACTGTGGAGTCAAGTTATTTTTATGACTTGTTATTTGTATTGATAATAAATCATTTCGATAAAATCAAGAATCCAGTTTTGGATCAAACTTTCAGAGTCAAACTAACATGGACGCCACTGCCAATGCCGCCGGCGTGTGTGCGCGTCAAAGCGCCAAGCTCGAAGAGTTGATGAACTACCTTCAGTTTGCTGCGCTGGACATTCCGAGCCGCTTCAGAGGCAGGGTACGTGCATGCCTTTCATCAACGACGTCGACGTCATGGAATGGTGTAGGTCGTGTTTTCTTTCCTAAATGCAAGTCGCGACGTGGTCTGCGTCCGCACTGTCGATACCACTTCACGTACGCTGCGCGCTCTACTTGGTCTGGGTGCTTTATATTCTTCTTTAGGCGTCCGCGTGTATGCATCGCGACCGTCGCCAGAGACAAGCACCGTAGACGTTGCGCTGACGATCTGTGACTTCCTTCTCATGTACAGTGGGGAGCTGACGGCCGCCGAAATTGCTGGCTTATGCATGTCGGGCAAGGTGCGCTCTTTGTTGTTTACATTTCCTCCACGACCAGTAGGTAATCCATATGAACAAGTAGGTCCAACTGCGATGGACAGCGTACGGGAGCTTGAAGTCGTTTGCCGACTCGTTCGATTTTTCCGTGGAGAAGTGGGCTGCCTTCTACGCCCACTTCGGCTTGGACCCCGACTATGTCGACCAGATCCAGTGCCACCTTCCATGCTGCGCGGCGCCGCCACCGTTGACGGACGAGCAGATCGACGCCAACTGGAACATGGTCTGCGACTCCATGTTGATTCCTGCCGCTTGCCAGGGGCTCGACTGGCAGTTAGTCACGTCCATGGAGGTCTCGCTGGTGCCGCAGTCGCCGCCGCCGCCGGTGACGTCGTCGCCATCGTCGTCGGACGTTCCGTGGTACGAACGGCTGCATTTGGTTCAAGTCCAAGACACGGTCAAGCGCAAGATGGTCAACCTGAAAGAATACGCGGAAAAGTTGCTCGTCGAATCCCTCGATGCTGTCGCGTGATGAACGTCCGGTTAAATTTTATTTTATATATATACATACATGTATACTATCAATACTATTAATAGTAGGACTAACTGTTATTGTCAAATCGATTCGAAACTGGAGCCCTCAGCAGAATCGACCACCTAAGCCAATCAAATCACGTCTTGTCGAATTTCTGCCAATCCGAACTTTTGATGCTCCGCATTGGGCAAAGCCACTAAAAAAATATACTAATGTTTTTATGGTATAGTTTGTTCCAGCCTAAACTTGGTCAAGTGGATTCGAAATCTATTTTGGAAATGACTCACCTAAATTTGGGTGAAACGAGCAGCTAAATTTGGGTGAAATGAGCAATACAGTCCTACAATAACATTGCAAGGATTGATGCTGCATTCTCGACACCAACGAGGGTGGTTGGTTCATGTACTACTAGTATACAGTATCGAGTTATCTCCAATCGAGATGAGTTTTTTAGAGTTACGGAGATTCTTTAAAACTTTCACGCTGTATTTTATCCGTCAGGTTGTACCATTCAAACCTACTAGTATTGTGCATTGATATTTTCGGTAGATTCGACGAACGACGTCAAATCCACCTGAAATCGTCGAGAAGATGTCATTTTACTTGAACTAAATATACCCACTGTGTGTCCGATGCAATGTTGAACTCTTTGTGAAATGGAGAAGCTTGGCAATGCACCAGATACACCCACCTGCAATATGATTGGTCGAAAGGTCTTTTTGGAAAATTTCATTGGCTACTTCGGTCCGTCGATTCGATTGGCAGCCCCAGTCCAATTTGAAAATCGAATTGCCAATATACGCTAACTAGTTAACGTAGATGGGCCAAGTGATGGTGCACTTGAAAGAGACGTCGTCGTAGAATGCAGCTTACTCGTCTCTCAGGATCAATTCTGAAAAAGGGCTGCGCATGAAGCCGAAAGGTTGGGCAATATTCTGGTTATTTACTGTTAATCGGCTTGACTGTGAATAGACTTCAGCTTAGCGTTCATTTACTTCGATTTCCTCTCTACCGGTACTAGTATTTTTTAGTGATTTCCTTTTTCTAGTGATTCGATTGGCTACTCCAAAACTCAAGCAATTCCATTGGCCAATTTGAGTACACCTTAAACTGTCCCGTGCACCATAAACTGGCCATCTACGCTATCGTGTTTGTCGTTGCTTTACTATTAGTCGCCTTCACTGCCGAATTACGATTTAAATCGTCGACCGACTTACTTGCGTCGGTCGTTCAACGCAAACTGCACTTGATTCGCTTGAAAAAAGGCTTGGACAGGGGCATCCAAAGTGGAGAGTTGCACCACCGCCGACTCCCCCACTAGACGCACGAGCCGCCCCGGGCCAAACAGTGGGGTCGTCACGGGATCGTGTGATTTCAAAGGCGGAACCACTGGCTCAAAGTACGGGTCCAATGCGATGACGTGGTCTACAGACAGTGTCGCATATCCAAACGATAGTCGCACTTCGACCATTCCCACGGCATACCTAAGTATACAAAACCAAAGTCGTCTGAGACATCGTCGTAACGTCCTGAGATACCGCGTGGCGGTGAGGATGCCGCGGCCAAACTGCCGACACACGACGCGGTCACCAGGCTGGAGCACACTTGTCGGCTGTAGAAACGCCGCCTTGGCCCACGGAAATGCGACTTCGACCGATCGGCGGCGCGACGCCAAGACAGTCGCGGCGCCGTAGATGGTCGCAATGCGGTCGCCGACGTGGGAGGACCTGCCCATGGCGGAAGACGGCACCAGTCCCTTGGACACGAGCACGCGATGCGCCGCCCTCACGTCCAGCAAAAACCGATGGAGTAGCCCTAGCGCGTACTCGGACGGCGTGGCCGGCGACTCGCCCAAGTACGTTGCCACATCATGCCAGTGTTCCGTCATTGACTGGATCTTTTCTTGAACGAGGCGCAGGTCGTGTTGAAGGCGGGCCACGTGCGGCTGCATCGAGCGAATGAACGCATTGGGCTGGTATTCCGCGGCTAAAGGGGGGGGAGAAGGAGGTGGAGGGGGGGACCTCCTCCTGGCAGGGCGATTCCGGATGGCCGAGAGCAGCGCTGCGGACGGCGACGGCGAAAGCTTGTCGGGTGGTGGGGGGGGTACGGCGTCGGCGTCATCTACTGTTTGAGGTCGATTTCGAATCGCGGCCAAGAGATCTGCGGATGGTGACCTTGCCGGCGGTCGCTTGTCAGTGGAAGCAACAGCTGCCATTGATTTCTCGTCCTTGTTCGCGGCATTCCCCACCAAGTGGCTCCCGTCGCTAGTACTACCAGCCGTCTCGCCAGTAATCTGTTTTTCGTCCGGTTCGTGTCGCGTGCTCCGGATCGCAGCAAACAACAGCGCATGTTGTCCGGTCGGCTTTTCGTTGCCATTCGCGGGGGGCTCCTTGCTTTGGCTGGGGTCGCCGGTGCGCTTCCGAAGCATGGCCATGAGGGCGTCGTGTCCTCCCCCTCCTCGTCCTCCCCGTCCGCCCGGCTTGGTGCCTACGGGGTCGACTCGCTGCTGCCGCCGTGGGGCGTTGGTTTGGCCTGCTTTTTCAAACTGAATACGACCCCAAGTGTCTTCTTCGTCGAGTTCCGTGACCAAATGTGTCAGCTGTTTCTGCAAGTTTGCCATTTGAGACACGCACGCGACGTTCGAAACCCGCTTGGCCGCGTCCAGCATGTCCAAGTCGTCTACTACGTGAAATAGATCCGTCTCCCCACGCTCCTATACGAAATATATATATATTTATTTATTTATTTATTCATAAAAATATTTATCGACTCGTCCTGCATGATGTGGTAACACACGTACGTGGATGAGTTGCATGAGGAATTGCAGTAGCGTCATGCTTTGGTCGATGGATCTCGTTTCCGACAACTACAGGCAATGAGAATATATGTCGATATAAATTAGTTGATAAAGGTAGGATTGATATATATATATATATATATATATATTGTAATATCGTGATATATATATATATCGAGCTATGTGCTATCAATCTACTATATATGGACGGATGGGGGGTAGTATACCTTTAACAAGGACGCGAGAGTTACACCCGATGCATTGGCTTGATCGGTGCCTTCGTTCAATACATTCCCCAAGGCTAAAATCACTTCAAAATATCGAGGCAAGCGCTCGCTGCTTAGAATTTGATGGCATGCCACCGACAACACCCTCAGCCGTTCATTCAGTTGGTCGATCAACGCTGGGTACTGCTGGACAAACAGTAGCACGTGAATCTACCAAACAACAAACATATCAAACCTCCATTCATCGTACTCATACACCGGGGTACCTTTTCCTGTACCCGGGGCACCGTGGCCATGTCCACAAGGAAGCGCTCGGCATCGTCGAGCTTGGTGCCTCTGAAATTCGAGTACCGTTTGACCTCCACGGGCGTGGGGCCGATTTCCGCAAGCGTGTGAAGCACGTCGGGCGTCAGCACGTCCAGCCGACCGTCGCGCACGGCCGCGACGAGCGCCGATGGTCCTCCCGCCGCCGCTTTGAACCGACTGAGGCCGATGTGGATGTTATTGGCGCGTCGGCTGTCGAGAGCGCTGTGGATCTTTTGTGGCTTTTTCTGGCCAGCGTTGGTTTGCAGGCGCTGGCTGAACGATGACGTGGCTTCTCCAAAACACGCGATCACGCGATCCATGTCGGCACCGGACAGTGTCACAGGGGCATGCCGTCGCTTGTCGGTCACGCGGGACCAAATCGTCGCCTTGGTGTGCGTGGCATCGAGCGCCGTCCAGTGTAGCTTGCGAAGTGTGCTGGGTTTGCGTACGAGCGACGGCCTACTACTAGTAGTAGTAGTACTAGATGCGCGGGTCGACCTAAGACATTTGATTGTACATTTTTAACCTGCATGAGTGAGTGCTTTCCAACCGGTCACGTCATCGTGTTTGACAAAGCAATCGAATCAACAAGGAATTTCGAAATGCCTTACTGCGATACAGTGCAAGTGGACCCGTCGACCCCGTGGACAAACGCTGCGACAACGTCTGGGGGAATGTAATCCTGCTGCATCTTCTGGCCCACAGCAGAGGCTGGCACGCCAAACGACACCATCTTAAAGTACTTATCGTACGTCGCATTTCGCCTCAGCGCGTCGAGCGCGGGGTTGTCTGTCCGCCTGCCGTCCTCGCGACTCGACTGCGCGGCCTACCCATATATATATATATATATTATATACATATATATATATATATATATATTGTCAAGTCGATTCGAAATTGAAATTGGAGTGGGGTGCTCAACCGTATGAGCAGCAGCACCAAATCGGCAGACAATCGATCGACCAATCAAAACCCAGATCACTAATCAAGTAGCCAATCAAATACATTCTTCGAAGTCACTACAAACAAAGAATCGATCGATCGATTTGGCAAAGTATCAGCCGAAACGTCCTAATCATATTATAATCATATTGGGTAAATGGACATCATATATACATACTTCGAAGTATATATATATATATGATCATACTCCATATTCAAACTATCCTTGCAAGAAGACCACATACAACGCACACGTATGTCCAGTTGGCGGAGGTAGCATCTGTCGCACACGGGTTTCGATGCCCACAAGTGCCTCGTACAGGCCACGCAGCACCCCTTGAGACAGATGGAACAGCTTTGGTGCCGTCGAAAGAGTGAGATCGGCTCAGTGCATTGCGCGCACGCTGGTTCGTCGGGCACGAGTACCGACCCCAGCCACGACGTGACCGATTCTACGGCAGCTCAAGTTTGGCAAAGAACAAGACTAGACGGGTGATGGTGGACCTGAGAGCGTAGTGGATGACGATGGCGGCGGCGGCGGCGACCTCGGGCGGAGCCACTGCTGCTCTTCGTGGAGCATGGCCTCCATGTGTTTGGAGCTCCACTCAAGTGACCGGTGGATCACTTGCTTCCAGCAAATCACGTGCGCCACCTCCGCACAGCACGCCCACGCACTCGCGTAGCGCTCTCTGGATGTGACCACAAGGCGATACGTCACAGCTTTAGTGCGCAGCTACGAAACCAAACAGTGTCGCAGTTTTGCATAGATATTGAGTACAGTGGTTTTTCAGTGTGGTATTGTAAAAATAATAATAAAAAAGTGTTTATGTCGACATGGAGAATGAATGAATGATTCGACACAACACCAAATAAATACATGTACACAAGTATAATCGGCAGCAGGATTTAGCCAATCAGATTGCAGAAAACCATCGTGAACAATTAATTAGTGTGTGACTTCAATTAGTGTGATGATACCAATCTCCACAGGACATACAAAATGAATCGATCGATGGATTTGGCAAAGAATCAGTACAAATTTTGGGCAAAAGGACAGTAATACCATTGAATGGGAGTTGTCTAGCACGAGTTGCAGCTGGGGTATCGGACGCTCGAGGCGCAGCGTGAGCTCGACCCACGCGTCGCCCTCGACAGGTTGCAACGGATCGACTAGTTCCTTGATGGGGTTGGTGGTAAAGCCGACGCCGATGCTGTGCCGGGTCACTTGAAACTGCACCACGGCCACGAGTGTGGTCGGGTCGTCCATGTGCAGTGGAATACACACCCGACTGCCGCGTCTACAACATCCGGTCAAGTGACCCACAAGCGATGCGTTTATCCGTACGTACGGGATGGTCACTTGTACAGGTGGCGTGGCCAAGCACAGGTATCGGGCGGGGGTGCAATCTTGAATGGCCTTGAACTCGTCCATGTGGGTCGTCGTGCCTTGGTAGAACGCCACGTCACCACCAATCGACAGTAGTTGGCGACTCGTTACAAATGCATCCGAGGCATGGGACTGATACAAATTGGGCGGAAAGGTCGCGGCAGTCGACGCAAAGTCATCTTGGAGAGGCGTCAAGTTGAAGCTGACGCCGTAGAGCGCCGTGAGGCACGCCAACGTGCGCTGCGCCGTGTCGTAGTGCGCCAACAACGCTCGAGAAGGGTCGTAGTATCGGGCAACTACCGATCGGCGCTTGATGAGGTTCTACATATCGTTACATATGTGGTTAGGACAAACAAGAATCTAACGAAACCATGACACAAAGACGGCGACCTCGAGCGCACGGTGAAGCATGTGCCGGTTGAGGGCAAAACACAAGTAGGCCCGCGCGCGGCCCCAGCCCAAGTATCGCATGAACAGAGGCGGCGCGAACAGCTCGGCGTCCGACACGACGCCCGCGTCGTCGCGGAGCACGTTCCTTGTTTCGACCAAGAAGCCAAAGTAGAATTCTTCAGGTGGACATGACGCCATCTTGGACGTGGGCTAGACACACACACACATGATGACGTGGCAATGTATGTTGACGTGGCGAGAGTACCTTGACGCCGTGCCGCAAGATGGCTTCGAGGGCGAGAATCAAAGGTCTCGCGGAACCAGCATGCAGCGGCGTGTCCGGCTGCGTCATGAACACGGCCACAGTGTCCGCAACAGCGCGTTCGAGTCGCTGGGCTAAAGCGTCGTGCATGCTGGATGTGTCGTGGCCTTCTGGAAGGGATGGCATGATGGTCGATGGACGATCAAGGTGGCGAGTGGAGGAGGAGTTGTGGACAGGGTGATTGTACTTGATTTGGTACTCGTTGGCGGCCTCTCGAGCGACATGCAACGTGGCCGTCGGCACTGACATCACACGATACAACACGTCTTTCGCCCGTAGCCTCGAGTACGAGTTGTCCCACTGCAGACAAACCAAACGAGCGTCGCCACAATGCTCCAGCGTGCCATCTACCATGCCATCTAACGTGTCGATTCGCTTGGAGAAGGTCGGGGATTCAACGCCATCGACCAGCACTCGGAAGCCAACGTCGAGCGCTTGCACGTAGAACTGCCACACGATAGCCATGCCATCCTCTGCAGCCACGACAACGTCGCAATGCTCTCCCCGGGGAATAGTCAAGGCGGACATTGGTGTGGCTTGAAGCAAGAAGGACTCTGCTGAATGGGATTCAAGAAACTCCATCGCTCGCGCGCTTCGTATGTCGTTGATGTCGGAAAGATATTCTAGTTTATCCGGACATATTTCGCTGAGAAAAGACAACATACAATCTGCAAAATACACACTGGTTTCATGAAAACTCACAGTCAACGATGACAATCAAAATGAACTACGATTAATATTAGGATATGTTATTATCAACAGCATTGCGGTCGGTGGAGAGGGCGGCAACATGCGGAGACGTCGTCGTCTTGACAGCGTCCGAGTGGAAGGCCAAGTACACGTAGCCATAGGCGGAGGCGGCAAGGGCGAGCAGCGCCACGGGTTTGAACATGGTGGCTAAGCGAGCGGTGGCGATATGCACAATGAATGACACTACTGTTTGCAAGTTCGTTTGGTAACGTTACATGATTGAACTGTTGACCCTCGCTCGTGTGGTTCAATGTGGTGGATTGACTAGTTGCATGGTAAGTGACGCTTACTCGTGTTCTTAGGTCGCTTGAATTTGATCATTGCAGGGATCATGAATTCAGAGATGTACATGTGT